GAGTTCTCATGAGATCTGATGCTTTTATAAGTGTTTGGAAGTTCCTCCTTCACTCTTCTATCTCCTGCTGCCATGTGAGGAAGGTGCCTGCTTCCCCTTGCCTTCTGCCATGATTGTAAGTTTCTTGAGGCCTCCCCAGCCATGTGGAACTGTGAATCAATTAAACCTCTTTCCTTTATAAATTACTCAGTCTTGGGTATTTCTTTGTGGCAGTGTGGAAAAAGACTAATATAGGAAGCATGTCTTTTAGTGGTTCATCTCCTTGTATTGGTAAATGGGAACAGAAGGGGTTGACTACAGGGTATCTCTGATCCTGTCCACATTCTCAGCTCTGTGATTTTTCAAGGGAAGTGCTGCTTCTCCCAGTAATGAAGCGGCATCTTGGTTCACACCCTGTCCCTTGTCTGGACAGCATATGCATAATTAGCTCATTTTCTTCTAAGACTCTTTGTTTAAGAGGGTTTGGTAGATTTGCTAACTCAGTTGCTTGTTTATAACTCTTGTCATACAGTCAATTACAGAAGTCTTTGAATGTTACTGAAAATGTGTTTGGCTTAATCAGTTCCGACAGTGGTGGGGACGGATTGAGAATCCATGTGTCCTGTAAAGAAGCTCTCAATGGACTGGGCTCAGGATGGATCTCTTTGCATTATCAGGGTGACTGTGCTGAGCAATTTCACCTGTCCACAAACCACTCTATCACCTCTACCAGCAAGTTAAGCAGAATTGGCATTTAGAAATTTTAGGAGCCCAGAAAACTTCCTCTAAACTTTAACCGCAGCAGCAACCACCATCACCACCACCAAATAATGCAGCCAAGAGCAGAGGATCACAGCAGGTGCTGGAGTCAGATTTCCAGGTTCAAATACCAGTGACACCACCTACTAGGCATGTGACTTGGGCAAATGACTTAACTCCTCTATGCCTCAGTTTCTTTATCTCTAAAACAGCATCAGAGAAAGGATAATAGAACACAGCTCAGGGTGGGGAAGCGCTTACGTGAGAATACGTGTGAGGCACTCCTCCAGCACCTGGCACATGGTAAGCATTCAGTGAAGTGGGGGAGTCACATTCACTCCCTCGTACCAGGCACAGAGATCATTTCTCTACAGAGATTAGTGCTAACATGGGAGCTAACAAGTACTGAGAGTTTATGTCATGCCAGGATTTCCTCTAAGTGCTTGTGGAAGTTAATTTTAGGTATCAACTTGGCTGGGTTAAGGAATGCCTAGAACCCTGGTAATGCGTTGTTTGTAGGTATGTCTGTGAGGTGTTTCCAGAGGAGATTAACTTGTGAGTCTGAGTGGACTAGGTGGGGATCATGGAATCGACTGGGGCCCTGGAGAGAACAAAAACAGAGAAGAGGTGAATGCGTCCATCTAACAGTGGGAGCTGTGATACACATTTCCTTGGGCAACAAATTCAGACTCCCAGTCTTGGGACTCCAGGACTTACATCAGTGGCACACACTGAGAGTAGTCTCACACTGAGAGTTATACCATCAGCTTCTCTGGTCCTGAGCCTTGGTTCTTAGACTGAGCCACAACACCAGCACCCCAAGGTCTCCAGGTTGCAGATAGCCTGCCCTGGGACTTCTCAGCCTTCAAAATTGTGTGAGCCAATTGTCCTAGTAAATCCTCTCTCCTATATCTCTCTATATCCTATTGCTTCTGTCTCTGTGGAGAATCCTGATTAATACAGTGCTCTACCCATATTAACTCATTTTAATCTTCAGAAAAATTCAATAAATTAAAAACATGTTTTTATTTCATAGAAGAGAAATCTGAGGACTAGCAGAGTCTGGACATGAACCCCAGGTTTATCTTACTACAAAGCAAATGCCTAAGATCACTGCTTTGAGAGTAGCTACTGCTTGTCATTCTGCCCTGGGCCAGTGACCTCATAAAGGAAGCTTGGCTGTTCTTCCAGAAGCTGGGGTGCTGGAGACTGAGAGAGGAAAAGAACACCTTTGCAATCTTTGACAGCAGAGAGACTAAGGCAGAGTTTTGTGATTCTGTGTAGTATTTTGACAAATGTGTAAAAGGCCCAGAATGTGTAAGCTGCTAATGGACATCCTGGCCCTGGATATGGAGGTGAGAAAGATGTTTTCTCCCCTTCTCCAGCACCAGCACATTCTTTCTGACGTGACCATTCTTCCTCCTTCTCCCCTCCTCCTTCTTCTTATTTTCTCCCTTCTTGTAAATCCACTTCAATGTCTACTCTACCATTTGCCTTTTTCAGGCAGCATGCTTAATAAGAATGCAAATGTTCTAGAACGTCACTGCTCAAAAGTGTAGCTCCACAGGCTGGTAGTGTTGGCCTCCCCTGGTAACTTATCAGAAACATGGAATCTTAGGCCCCTCCCCAGTCCTCTGAATCACAACCTGCATTTTAACAAGATCTCTAGGTAATCTGTGTGCACATTAAAGATGGAAAAGGGATGGGCTAGAAGGAATATGAACTTTGGCATCTGAAAGAAACAGACTTGAATCCTAGCTTCTCCATTTATTATCTGTGTTGCCTTGGAAAAATTACATAACCTTTCTGACATCGTTTTCTAATCTATAAATTGAACTTCATAATATCTTGTAAATTGTTTTAAGAATTGGTGAAAATAAGGTTACTACATTTAATCCTCTGTACCTGGTACAGTGTGAAATGTTTAACATCTATATTCTTTCTCATTTCAACCTCACAACAAAGCAATTAAGTATATGCTGACTGTATCTCTTGATGCAAATGAAAAAGTTCAGTTTACCAGCAGAAAGTACCGTGCTGAGGGTTGCAAGTCGGTGAGTGATGAAATCAGCACTTGTCAGAGCTTTGGTTCCCCAAAGAGTGGAGGGGATTATTATTATACTAATTCCATCCAGAATGGAGAGATGTCTTGGTATTCACTTTTTTATTTCTTTAATCTCCGTGTGTCTTTCCAGTACCATTCAAATTATTTCACATTCGTTATTTCATTCACCTGGTGTCATGCAAGGTACAGAATGTCATTACTTAGTGTCTATAAAGCAATATCCTTTCTAATGAGTGAAACATGCTTTCCCAAAGCCCACTGGGTTGTGAGCAATATGGCTGTCAGAGATCAAATCAGTTGAACATCTGATAGTGGCCTCCAAGGGTGTGGTTCTTCCTCTGGTAAAATTACCTCCCTCCTCTCCTCCAGGGCAATTGGAAGGGAACTTACTTTGCTCCTCTGAGATCTGACCCCTTCCAAACCCGGCTAAAGCCAGGGCTACTCCTTTGCCCAGCCAGGTGTCTGTAAGGTGGCAAGTTGTTTTTTTCTCTTTTAGGGCTGTGTCTGAAAAAGACTGTCTCAAGGGAGTCCTAAATGGAGCCTTCTCCTGGCCACATTACATCTCACTCTGGCCCACTTGGCCCCATTTGAGAAGCTTGTGAGAGAGCATCATGACCATTCCTCTCAGCAGCATCCAAGAGGGATCCTGCTCAGAGGATACTAACTTGGTTTTGTTTGTAATTTTATTACAAGGAGTTTTGTCAATGTTTCTAGACCGAGAATGTTTTAAGAATGATTAGGATTAATCAGGCTATAAATCCTTGCCAGGAGTCATGAACAGCATCATCTCATAGTCTCTCTTTAAGGAATAAAAGTGACCCAGACAGATGTTCTGCTAAGGCAGTGCTGAGTGTGTTATGGGTATGGAAATTCTTTGGGTCTGCATGGAGCCATTGATGAATTAGGAGCAGTCAGAGGAGGCTTTCGAAAGAACAGGACCTCTGCTGCGAGATCAGAAAGAGGCCCCACTAGATTCTTACAAAAAGAACATAATGAGGCCGGGCGCGGTGGCTCACAACTGTAATCCCAGCACTTTGGGAGGCTGAGGCTGGTGGATCACGGGTCAGGAGATCGAGACCATCCTGGCTAACACGGTGAAACCCCGTCTCTACTAAAAATACAAAAAAAATTAGCTGGGCGTGGTGGCGGGCACCTGTAGTACCAGCTACTCCAGAGACTGAGGCAGGAGAATGGCGTGAACCGGGGAGGCGGAGCTTGCAACCAGCGGAGATGGAGCCACTGCACTCCAGCCTGGGAGACAGAGTGAGACTCCATCTCAAAGAAAAAAAAAAAAAAAGAAAGAAAGATAAAAAACATACTGAAATGAGATGTGACCTCACACTTTAATCTTGATTTCCAAAGGGAGCTCATCTCCCCAAGTCCTTCTCCCTGTCTCTGTGAAGTCCTCTGCACAATGGCCAGCAGCAGCTGACAAAGATGAACAATACCTGAATGCTTCATCTAGTGTGCTCCTAAGGGATGCAAAAGGAATAGAGGAAGGGGCTGAGGACTGGAGATTGATTTTGACATTGAAATGTGATAGCTGCTATGGGATACATGTGTCCGGCCCTGGGGATAGCCCTCCTATGCAGAGCACCTTGTTTTAACTCACGTATGTTTTTCTGTGCTCTCTCAAACTGGTTCTGCACTTGAGGCTTTTTTTTTTTAATTGTTTTTTTCCGAGACGGAGTCTCGCTCTGTCTCCCAGGCACAAACTGCCAGGACAGAGGAGGAAGCAAAACTTTTGTGTCCTCATTCCCATTCTTTGGCAAAAATAGCAGAATTTCTAGAAGGGGAATCAGTTTTTTGCCAGGCCCTGGTCTTCAGCTAATGTCTGTCCCATTGGGTTACAGTAGAATCATACAGGAAATCATTCACGGGGCCTTGCTCATCTGACTGCTCCGGGAAGGTGAAGTCCCAGGGGTCATCCTCAGACAGACCCATCACACTGGGTCCGGGAGGACTTCGGTCTCCTCTGCTGCTTGTGTACAGGATCCAGAGCTCCCACCAATATAGTGACAAGCCCTGGTCACCTGCCTCAGCCTCCCTTCTCTCATGGTGTGTGATGCTTTGGGGTGTCCATGTTCTTTCCTGCTAGAGACCTTTGTCAGGGTCTCCTCTTCTATCAAATGCTTCTAATAACATCCAACTGGAAAATGGAAAGATCAGAGTCTGTCTCCATCCTTTATAGTCTCAGGTTCCTTCACTCACTTGGAATTGCATCGGCTCCTGGGAGGCCAGCTGTGCAGATTCAAGGAGCACTGTGCAGGGAGCATTCCTGTGTGCTGGCGGATTCCTAGTGCCCCACCCCAGGACAAGGCCCATCGGTTCAAATAAAAGCAATTTTCAAGAGATTTTCTGGAATTATGAAGACCCGATAAAGATTACATGCTGTCATCAGAGAGTTTCTTGCAGAAAAAGAAGGACCCATTTTTCAGTCAACAAGCTACATAAACCAATAAAAGTGTTCAATGAATGTTTGTGGAGTGCTTCATCATTTACTTTGCATGCATGGATACTAGACGTGCTCCAGCTGCAGTCTCCTCGCCTTCCCTGTGTTCCATACAAGAGCCTTGTCTTGGCCAGAACAATGAGGCAGGGACCTGCCCCCTGTCCACACCTCCTCTGCCCTGGGCTGGGTGCCCAGCGTTCCTGCAGGCAGCATCTCATGCATCATTAGAATGACCCTGGATTGATTTCCTGGGGCTTCTATCGCGAAACATCACAAGAGTGTGCCTGAAACAACAGAAAGCTCTTGTCTCACAGTTCTGGGGGTTGGAATTCCAAGATCAAGGTGTCAGCAGGGTTGGTTCCCTCTGAGGGCTATGAGTGAAAATTGGTTCCGGGGCTTTCTCCTGGCTTCTCATGGCTTTCTGGAAATCTTTTGTCATTTTTTGACTTGTGGACTCATCTCTTTGATCTCTCCCTTCGTCTTCACATCATGTTCTCCCTGTATGGGTGTCTGTGTCCAGAGTCCCCATTTTTAGAAGGTCACCATCTATATTGAATTAGAGACCTACTCTGTTTCACTATAATCTCATTTTAACTAATTACATCTGCAATGCACTTGTTTCCAAATAATTCACAGTCTGAGGTCTTGGGGGACTTCAACATATGAATAGGATTTCAACATGTGAATTTTGGGGGAAAAGAATTCAGCCTCCACAAACTTTATGCAGCAGACTTTGCTATCTACACTTTAAAAAGGATGACAATGTTGTGAGAAAATTAATAATTTACTATGGCCACCTCGCTCAGAAGTCTGAATTCAAAACCGAAACTTTGTCTAGTAAACGTTGCTACTTCTGAACAGAGAGCAACCAGACTCCCTGATGTTGATGTTCAAGTCAGCTTTGAGGGTTTGCTGTGGACACAGGCTCACAGGAGCCTGGGGTGAGTACGTTCTGATGTCTGTGGCCCGCCCTTCTCCCTCGGGCTTGTCTCTCCTTCATGTGAACACACTCATTTATTAGCTGTCTTTGCTCCAATAAAGACAAAGCTAAAATGTGTATCCCAGATAGCTGATTTCAGGGGCTTTTTGTTTTCTGCCAAATTCAATTCTGGTGAAATCTCTCCTGCATTTTCTTAGCAGGGAGGTAAGGGGCCCACTTAGATGCTTTTTGTGGGCTGCATTTTTAAATGAATGCAGCTGGTTATTTTGATTAAATGCATATTGAAATCCACTTGTAACTAGTCAACCAAGACAATGAAAGGGCCTCAATGCACCATTGAGATTGTTTTCTAAATTTTTTCAAGTTAAACAATTCAATAGAATATTATTATGCTCTGATATCACCTAGAAATGGGGACTGAACCCCAGGACCAGTGACATGTGCTGGCCCATGGGTGACAGCCCTGCCCAATGTAGGAGGTCTGGGCCAAAAGTCCTGCTTTTTCTAAGATGGGAATAACTGCTGGAAGAGATTTCAGGGCTATGCTTGACGTGTATCAGGTGCTTAGTGAATTATAAATGGAATCATCAACATGGTTTTGCACAATTCAAAGCAGTTCTGGAGCTGGGGCTGAGGCTTCTCCATCAACTCAGCAACAGATGTGAAGTGTCCACATTCTCGAATGTCTGCTCATTTCTGTGGATTCTCAAAGCGATCCTTTTCCTTGAGATCATGTTATTTGGATGCTGTAACAGACATTCCTGGGTGGCACACACAAATCCCCACATGCCCTGATTGATTCTGGGCTGTGACGTTATGTCAGCTCTAGGGTGGAGAGTGAAAAGTGTCCAGTGTTCACTCAGTTGATGAGCGTATCCACATATCCACCGTCAACTAGGTGCGGAAGTCACAGACATCAAAGGCCTTGCTCACAGTCTGGAGTGGGAGACAGACAGACAAGTGAGTGTAACCCAGCATGAGGACCTCCCTGAGAACTACAGTCCACGGAGGAACATCATGCCCAAATAGGAGACAGGGAAGGTCAGAGAGGAGTTCCTGGGAGAGAACCCTGGAATTGAGAGCTGGAGAAAAGAAAGGGTTAAGCAGGAGAAGGATGCCCAGAGGGCATTGTAAGCACAAAGAATGAGCTATAAAGTCTTCGAGGAGTGAGCACAGAGGGTGCTGTGTTTAGAGAACCACAATGAGCTCCATATGGATAGAGTATATACAAGACAGCAAAGGAGAAGTTTACAAAGCTTTTACAGTCCTGACAGAGAAAATAAAACAAAATGTCTTCAAGCTCAGGGGCTCGTATTCACCTACCCGCAGTCATAAAATCTCATCTTTTCTTGGGGACAACCAGGACGTATGACCAGAGTAGTTAGGCACTTTGGCTTCCAGAAAGATGGAGATTTGTGCCAGAATGATCTCTGGGCTCCCCATCTTCCCTCGAAGGGCTCTTCTTTGTAAATCAGAAAGTGCTCTATGCAGGAAGATGGAAGAATGAGTTACTATTCCTGAAGACTAGTAAAAATATATATCTAATTTTAGAATTTAAAGTTTTTTACCTTGAGAGTTACCCGATCAGACAACCCATCCAACACATGATTAGCAGAGTCATTTTTTGCCTTTGCAATCCAATGTCACCAAAGGCATTGACTATCTGTCACATGCCAAGCAGTTCCAGAGCTGCCCTGGGGTCCCTGGGTTTTCTGATCCACATTTGATTACCTAGCCATCACATCTAGATTAACCCAACCCCTTTAGGCTGATCACGCTCCCTAATAGCTATTTATTTAAGCTTCCTTATACTTTTTCAGCATTGTATATTTCTTAATATGTCAATTCAAGTGAGATATATCTTCTCGGAAATCATATAAGCTTCAGGAGGTTTGTATACTACTCTCTGCAGTACTTGAGGCCATGCTTGTCTGGGACCTCAAGGGTGCCCCAAAATGAATAAATGAATGAAGTACTCCTGGTATGTTGAGCTTCCTTCTTCAAAACTCTAGAATCTTGCCTGTTTAAAACTAATGAGAGCTTTTATTTATAAAGCAAACGAATGTAGGACACTCTGCTTTAACACTTGACTGATATTATTTTACTTAATGTTTATGAGTATCCAGGCAGGTAGCTTTGTGGTTAACAGCATAACCTCTAGAGTCACAGCGATTGGCTCGAATTCCTGCTCTGCTATTTGATAGCTGTGTGTCCTTGGATTAGAAATCAGAAGTGTTTTCTTGCATTGACATGAGACAAAAAGTGCTTCCTAAAAGGCCACAGTTGTTGCTCTTTAGGAGAATGCAAAACTGATCTATTCTGTTAGACATGCCAGCAATTATTTGAAGAGACCTCTTGTGTTCCCCAAATATTCCAAAGCTAAGGTCCTTTATATTTTCCTCACATAGGATTGTTTTGTAATCTTTCTCCAACCTCTATCAGGGCCTCAGGTGTCTATACTCTCCTGATCAGAGGCAGGCTGTCTGTTTCCTCGCTGTGTTATTATGTGCCTGGAGACTAGACGCTATGCCTTCCTATCTCCGCATGATGTTGGAGTTATCGGAGCTCAGGAGTCTGATTCTCCGACTCAGTTACCTATAAGTGTGTCAATGCTACTAAATAACTGCAGCATTCTGGGTATCATTTCCTCACCTGTAAAAGGAGAAACTGAGGCTGCAGTTCTGAGGTGCAGAGGCTGAGATGCTAGGGTTGCTCACAACCCCCTTCCAGGCGGTCCATTTCCTAGGCCACTTGTAGCGTGGCAGTTGACTTCTTCAAGGTCACCAGGGCTTGCGGTGTTCTACTATAAGGACTACATCTCTGTAGCAGGTGGATGGACACATTCAGCTTCCATTACATGCTGCTGGGCCTATCTCCACTCTGGACTGCACTCTGGAAACTTCAGGAGGCTCGAATCTTTAAGAAAGCCCACAGTGAGTACCTTCTACATGGCCCTGCGTGGGAGGCAACTGGTGTTGACGTGGAACTTTGAAACCCACCCCTCCTTCGTGGGGAGACAGGCACACTGGAAACCTCTTGGATGTTGGGGTTAGGCAAACCCCAAGCTAATTATGTGAACCTGGGGAAATTACCCAGCCTCTCTGAGCCTGAGAATTAAGTGCAGAATAGTTGTTTGTTGAGTGAAGAAATGGCACTGGATTGGTGCCCATGGAGATATCAGGGTGCAGCCTAATGATTCCAGGTACAGGGCAGGTGAACAACAAGCTGTGAAAGTTGGGAATCACAGAATATTGCAAGAAATCATGTTCAGAAGGTCAGGACTGGAGCTTTTGGAATTTCAAATACCAAAATAAAGGATTCTGGCTCTTTTTCTGTAATTCAAAGTTCACAAAAGTATGCTTATTATAACACAAGATCAAAGAAATATTGATAGAACGATGTCAACAAGTTTATAGGAGCAGTTGAAAAACACTGGGTTAAATAACGTCTAATTGTTTGCTTTACTGCATAGTTGCTTAGCATCATCCTACATCTTTAAATATGCATGTTGTAATCTCTAAAGCAAGGAGATATGTTTTGCAACTATCCCAAACCGATTTGACCACTATTTTTTTTTTTTTTTCAGAGAGAATATCCTGGGGCTGGCAACAGGGAACCAATGTTATTTAATGGAAAGACTTTCAAGAACTTTGAGCAAGAGGATGTTTAGCGAAGATATGCTTTCCTGGAAACAATATCTATTGACTCTCCCTCTGTTCTTTAAAACCACAGAGAACTAGCTCACCCTCTTCTCTACTGGGTGATCCGTTAGGTCCCTGAAGACTGCTATTGTCTCTAGCTTCCGTTTTTTTCATCCATGCTAAATGTCTCCAGATCTATAAGCTGTCTCTCAAATGTTAGCCTGGTTACATTTCCCTTACCATCTGGTGGTCAGAACTGGATTTGAATTCTAGGTGCATTTTGGCATAAGCAAGAAAGAATTGACCCAATTTTCTTACATATAAAGTGAGCTGGGCAGGTGGGGTTGGTTTCCTTTTCCTTTAGTCTTAATTATGTCACTTAATTATAAAAACCTTACCTGTCTTCCAAACACGGTCAGTCATGAAATCTGGACCTTTTTTCCTAGG